CCTCTGCGTGCTGCGTGTTGCGTGTCCGGGTTGCATGTTAGGGTGCCTGTTTCATGTTGGACAGACCGACAGGGGACTTGGCCGTCAGGCCACCTAGGGTGCTCCCTGAAACCGCTGCTTTTGTTGCGTTTCGTCGGTACCGTGAGCCTAGCGTCACAGCCTGCACACACGACGGTAAATGAAGGCGTCCGCCGCATCGTTCTCATTTCATGCCATCCACCCGTTCTCTCGCTGGTTCTCAGGTCAGGCGTGGCGTCGTGAGATCTGGGCGAGCAGCGTAGCATTGCGCACGTGGACAAGTCAGGAGGAAGCGGCCATGGGAGCATTCCGCGTCGTGTGCATGTGTGTTGGTCTTCGCAGGTTGGACGAGATGGATTCGGGCGGCACAGCAGAGGCCGTCAGCACCACAGATGGCCATCCCTCACCCCAAGCAGTGCTGGCCAAGGCGAGAGACCTGTACAAATCCATCGGCACACAGGAGGCGTACGACCACGCCGTCCAGCAGCGAGGGCTGGAGGCCCTCGAGGCCGACATCACCGCCGTCATCTCCGACATCTGTCACCTCATAGCATCGGCCAGTGAACCGCAGGTTCGCACTGACGTCGTACGGCAGCTGGTCCAGCTGCTGTCCATCAAGCGATTAGATGGCACCATCGAGCAGAAGGCCATCGATGCGGGTGTGCTGCCAGCTTTGGTAGAGCAGCTGAGCGGGTGCGAGGAGGTGCAGCGACAGGCAGCATTGGCCCTCGGCGAGCTGGCGATTACGCATGGCGATTTGGTGGTGGATGCGGGTGCCGTCCCGCCCCTGGTGCAGCTCGTGTCGTCAGCCAATGACTATTTACGAGAGGTGGCCATCGGGGCGCTGTGCATCATCACGACGGAGTCATCGACCCGTCGCGATGCGGTGCTGGCGGCGGGTGTCCTGCAGCCGCTGCTGAAGGCGATGCGCGAGAGCAGTGTCATCAGAGTGCTCCACCTGGGCGCCCGTCTGCTGGGCATTCTGTTGAGTGTCTCCGAGAACTCCCCCCCCCCCCTGTCCCACTGGCCGAGTTGGCCCCCTTCCTGCCCGTCCTGGTCGGTCTCCTCGCCGAGCCGCAGCAGGACGAGCTCGTGCTGCAATCTGCAAAAGGGGCCCTCAGACACTTTGGGGCGTTCTGTGCCGGGGCTTGTGCTGAGGCTTGCGGTCAGTTAGCAACCATGAGGGCACGAAACACCACCATCGGCTGAATGGCTCACTGTGTACGTCCGGCTTGTCCCTGATGGGTGATTCCCTCAGGTACCGATGCTGATCGTGAGGCGTTGGTCGAGTGTGGCGCCGTGGCCTCGATCAAGCGACTCCTGCTCGAGGCAGCCGAATCGCGAATGAAAGGCGTCGGATGCCTGACGGCGATGTTCCTAGCCACAGGTACCTCTGCCACGCACGCATCTCATTCAGCACGTCACAGTAAAAGGTGCTGCTTGGTGTGGATTGATTGGCTGCAGGTAGCACCGCCCACAAGCAGGCGCTCATCGATGGTGATCTGGTGCCTCGGCTGATCGACGTGGCGGCCAGCGGGGAGACCGATGAGGTCGTGAAGGACATGGCGGCCATAAGCGTCGGAAATGTAGCAATGGGAGGATCGCAGCAGCAGGTGTGTATGCGTATCTGTGTATACCAGCCGCCCACACACATTGAATATGTTTCCTGAGCTCATGTCGCGTTTGCTCAATCGTACAGGTTGAGCATGCGGTTGAGTGTGGCGGCATCCAGTTCTTCTGTGACCTGCTCGATGGCGACGACAGCACGCGACTCAGCGGCATGATCTCCGTGCTGGACAAAATATCCAGGTTGGTCAACAAACTATGCCGCCTGTGTGCTGCCGACGTGTTGCCCTCTCATGTGCAGTGCGGGTCGTCAGAAGCAGGCCAACGAGGGTCTCCCCGACAACCCCTACTCCACACTAATAGAGCAGGTGAGACAGAGGGAGAAGAGGACAATGATGAGAAAGCGAACAGCATACCCACGGTTATCTTTCTGTGCCTTCTGTGCAGGCCGGCGGTTTGGACAAGATAGTCGAGCAGCAGGCACACAATGACATGGGCGCCGCAGCGCTGGTGGGCTGCCTTGGAGGCATCATGTCGACAGAGGAGCGCAAGCACATACATACTGTTAGTGTGTCGTCTGTCCCTTATTATCCATTCAGGCAGTCGCGCTTCTCCTCAACCACTTCCCGGATCGCGTCGACGTGCAGCGGCAGGCGGCCTTGATTCAGGCGGGTGCGATTCAGATTGACGATGAGCAAGGCGGCGAGGATGGGGACAGCGAGAGCGACGGTGTCGGCGATTTGGACACCGACAGCGGTAGCGATGGCCGTAGTGATGGGGAGGTGGAGGTGGAGGGGGAGGGGGAAGAGGCATAGATGGGTGGATGGATGGCCCGTGTGTGCCGGGTAGCTGGGAGGTATATGTAAGTAGCCAAGGAGACGGGGGGACTCGCTCTCGGGTGTACAGACACACAGACACACAGACAGACAGACTGACTGACTGCGTCGGGCATTGACAAACTTGTATGCGCAGAAAGAAGATTGATGAGATCGTTTCCGTCCGTCCGTCACGACACACACACACACACACGGAAATGCACCGACTCCATCCTCACAGAACGGTCGAGAGAGCCGCACAACTACAAAGGCGAATGACAAGTAACCCTGGGACGGAAGGGATATATCGACAAGTGTACAGGGAGGGAGGGAGGGAGGGGGAAAGGGAGACACACAGACGCACACACACACGGAGGTCACGGCATTCCTCCATTGGCCTGACAAGCAGTGCGCACACACTCTTAACCCCATGCGTGAAGGGCCAGACATGATCGACACTCAGCCTGACCCCTTGAGAGGCCTGCACCACACCCATCATATTGGAGAAACAACTCGTGTACGTTTGTGTGCAGCATGTCTGTTTGGTGTGACGGTGTGAGTGGATGGACCACGAGTGCGAGAGAGACACACACTGCCATGTATGGCTACGTATTGTGACGCGTGCGAGCATGGAGCAAACTATGCGTCGCATATGGATAAATGGATAAATGGATGGACGGATGGATGGAAACACAAAGAGTGGGCGGTAAGGGGCATCGATCGGCCTGTCTGTCTGTCTGTCTGTCTAGGTGAATACGTAGCCAGAGAGAGAGAGAGAGAGAGAAGATGTCAATCATCAGCCCAACAAAAGCACCGACCGCCCAGCCAACAAATCCAGATGGAGAGGGAGAGGGACAACAGATAAACATGGTGGCCAAGGATGGTTTGAGTTTGTGAGCATACTGATTTGTGCGCACCAACACGTTCATATCAGTCAGTCCATCCACGCACACGCAGACGCAGGCAGACAGACAGCCAGGCAGTCAGCCCAGTGCATATCGACACTCTCACACAGATTCATATACAGAGAGTCGGAGGAGGGCCACACACAGAGGGGAGAGGGGACCCACAGACCCACCCACACCCACGTCCACCTTTCATCCCACGCACAGCCAGCTACTCGGTCCATTCGGTCGACACGACATCAGCAGCTGATCTGATCTGCGCCGGTCAGCGACTTAGAGAGAGAGGACGGCAGGCAGCACTCCGCCACCCTCCTGACCACAACACACACAGACAGAGAGGACGCATGGCACCAGCGGATCACGTTGCAGTATGTCTGTGGCGCACCAGTGAGTATTGAGATCGGTCTGTGTGTGTCGTCAGAGCGATGCATTGCCGCTACCGCCGCCGTCTTGGTGCTCCTCCTCAGCCGACGCACCCTCACCTGCCATCGACACAGACACAGACGCACGCAGGCAGACATGTGACGCGGGTCGGTGGGGAGGGTAAGGCATCTGTGGCGGGGGCGTCTGGGTGGGCCTTCTTTCCTTTATGTGTACCTCCGCTGTCCTCTCCGTTGCTGTCGTCATCCATATCATCCCAGCCACCGCCATGGCCGTCGGAATCTACACCACCCACCCAGACAGACAGACAGACAGACAGACAAGAAATGCCATCCATCCATTCATGGTCACCATGTGTGTGTCCTCTCCCTCTTTCTGTCCGTACCGTCATCATCCTGCTGCTGGTCTTCTACTTGTCCGTCGAAGGCGTATGGCGCCACTCGCCCTTACGCCACACGTGCCAGCCGAGTGGTCACGGGGAAGCGGTCCTTGAACGCACCGCTCGCACACACAGGCGCCTCGGTCGTCTGGACACACACATCCACTGCAGACAATGACAGGAAGAAACAATACATGACATGTGACCGGCCGGCAGCTCTGCCTGTCTGTCTGCCTGACGGTCATCGACGTCTCCCATGAGAGAACCCCCGATGCGAATCCATGCGATGAAGTTGTGGCTGTCGTCGGTCAGCACCAGCTGTCGCTCATCACCGATGTCGTCTTCCCGGCTGAGTGTAGTAGTGCATCCGGCCACTGGTGTGTGGGGCGACTGGGTGAGGAGGCCATCCACACGGCCGCCACCAACATACCTGAACCACCCTCCCACAGACACCCAATCGAACACACACCCCTCTCGCCACACTGGTGCCAGTGGTGGGTTACCTGAGATAATCGAATGTGTCATTGATCTGGTGAGTCCAGTAGAAGTGGTGGAAGATCATCTTCTTGGCAAATGACGACGATGACGCATCGGTGTACGGGTCCCACGACACCAATCGGTTGATGAGGGGCGAGTAGATGCGGCTGCGCACTGGTGGGTCGTGCTGTAGTCGGTGCTGCTGATACAGATGGTGGGCAGCGAGGGGCGGGTTGACGGCAAGCCGGAAGCCGGGCTCGTCCTTGATGGCCCGCACCTCACCATTGTCATGGCGGAAGATTTGCAGGCGGCTGCCGTCACCGAAGTCCACGTGGCGGCCGACCACCATGAGCTGCGCCAACACACGAGCTACCGATCTATACGCCTACACGACACACACAGACAGAGAGAGAGGATGAGGCCTCTCTGCTCTCTCCCGCCCCTCTGTATGTGTGGTTACCGTCTTGTTGGGGTGTGTGTTGATGTCATCTGCCGTGAGGTTGATGGGCAGCTGACAGAAGCCGCACTGGCTGGCCCACTGGAGCACCTCCCGCGTCTCATCCCACGGCCCGCCCTCCTCGGCTATCCACACCGCCGCCATGAGGTCACCCATCTCCAGCGATGGGTCGAACCGCAGCAGCTGAGTGCCGATTCCGCCACGGCCCACCGAGTGGGACACTCGGCTGCGCAGCTGTGTTGATGAGAAGGCGTCTCTGAAGCATGCTGCTGAGGCCCTCAGCTGTAGTGTGGTGCTGATGTTGGGGAGGCGGCAGCGGTCTTCGGCAAACAGATGGGTGAGGGGGTGCTGCTGGCTGCCCGCCTGCAGATCCCGCACACACGTAACAATGCAGATCGATACAGAAGTTAATCTGGTGCATGGCGGTCGGTTGTGTCAGACGCACCCGATGCTGCTGCTGCTGCTCTTGCTGCGGGTGGCTGCGGGTCGATGCGACGCCGTGGCGGTCGGGCGAGGCGAACATCTCATCTGCTGTATCGGTCACGACCTGCACGCATACCACACAAACGACACAGTGACATCAACACGGTGCTGTGTTGGCGATTCTACTGGTCTTCTGACATGCGCACCCCTTTGGTGGTCCGGGTGTCGCGCCACATGAGCCGCTGCATCCTCAACGTCGTCATGCCAGACTCCAACGCCGACTCGCTAACCAAACTCTGACCCACAAGGGCCGTACTCTGACAATAGACAATCAGACACACAAATGAACACAGGCCATAGATAGGCCATGACACGTGCCGCTTTGGCTCACCCATATGCCGCCCGCTCTTTGGCCCTGGTTGGTCTTGCGTGTGATGTAGACGGCCGTGGCGGCCAGCAGACGGACATCGCACGCGGCCAAGTTGATGTCACACATCGACAAGAACTGCACACACAGAGACACACGACAGGGAGAAGCCATGCGATAGCTGGACGTGTTCCTGTGTGGCTGGCGGACAGACTGACCATGAGGTATTTGGCGAATGAGAACAGGCGGCCGTGGGTGTCCATGCCGGCAGCAGCGAACAGCCCATCCAGACACCCAATGCCGCACACAGAACTATCAACCGCCACACGCTTCATCACCTGCACACAGAGTCAAACGGACAGACAGACAGGTCGGCGCTGCACAGGTGAGCGTCGTGTGCGTGTGTCTGTGTTTCAGTACCTGTCTGTGTGTGTGGGGGGGGTCATCCGGCATGTAGTCCATCAGCAAGTGTGGCTCCAGCCGCTTGACGCAGGCGGCCACACACGCATCTGCTATCTGTGTGTCAGCAGCCAGGCAAGTGACACACACATCCCATGAGTCCTCACTCTCTGTATGCCATTCAGATCTCTTTGCCTGCGTGGCGTCGTTTGTGTCGATGAGTCGGTCGGCGCGGCACACGTCCAGCAGCTGCACCGCCCACGTGAGGTTCGCGTCGCGGCAGCCCATCGACGCTGCTCTCTTGACCATCCCACCCACCAACACGGCTGCAACACATGACAGACAGCACAGCACAGCACACACCTGAGTGCATCTGTTGTGTGCTGTGTTGTGTGCGAGTCGTGCGCACCTCTCTGCTGCGGCCATTTCATGCTACCGTCCTGTTTGTCAGACAACCGAACAACACAGAGCACCTCTTTTGATTGATCAGTCATCCGGCATCCCTCTCCTATCGTAATGCTCGCCTCACCGTCACAGCCGCCATGATGCCGTGCGATAGGCCTCAGCGATGAGTTCCAACCATCAACTTCTGCCTGATGGGGCTCCTGCTGGCCTCTTGAAGGCATCACGAGCGCGGGAACGAGGGAAAAGGCCCGTCGAGGAACGATCGAGCCGATGCGAGCCGGAATGGATGCCGGCTATGAAGACGAGAAAAACCACGACGTTCTCGTGAGCCGCCAGACCTTAGCCGCCTGTTCCATTCTCTTTTGGCGTTGAGTGCCCAGCCTGCTGCCGGGCCGCATCCATCCATCTCGCGCGCTGCGGAGGAGATCTCTGTCGGTGAGTGAGCAGCCATGAGCGAGGACCAGAAGGCATCCACGGGCAGCCCAGGTCTATCACACTTCGTGGTGTCATTCATTCTGCAGGTGTGAGCTGTGAGATCTGCACCGAAGAGTAGGGCGGCAGCGAAGTCAAGGGAAGACGAGCACTGACCAGGTCAGAAAGATGAAGGAGAGCAGACACGAACCATTCTGCACGTGTGTGTATGTGTTGGGCTTCGCAGCTGTGAGGCAATGGAGTCCACGGCTGACAATCCCTCACCCCAAGCAGTGCTGGCCAAGGCGGGCAAGCTCTTCGATGCCATCTCCACCAAGGAGGCCTACGATCAGGCGGTGCAGGAGCGAGGATTGGACGCCGTCGAAAACGAGATCACAGCCGCCCTGTCCGACATCTGCCACCTAATGGCGTCGGCCAGTGATCCCCAGCTTCGGAGCGAGGCCATATTTCAGCTGATCCGCCTGCTGTCCATCAAGCACCTGGAGGGAACCATCGAGCAGAAGGCTGTCAACACTGATGGCCTGGTGGCTGTGTTGGTGGATCTGCTGAGGTGCGAGGCCACGTACGTGCAGGCCCGAGCAGCACAGACCCTCGGCATGCTGGCGGTTCGTCATGCGGCGGTGGTCGATGCTGGTGCGGTCCAGCCCCTCGTGCAGCTGCTGTCGTCCTCTGATGGTGATGTGCGGAACGAGGCCATATGGGCGCTCGGCAACATTGCCGCGGGCACATCGGAGCAGACCCCGGCCATCGTCGATGCGGGCGGGATCCCGCCCCTCATTCAGCTGCTGTCGTCCCCTGATGAGGATGGGCGTACAGCGGCCATCGGGGCGCTGAACAACATCACGGTCGCATCGACGACTTGTCGCGACGCCGTGTTGGTGGCCGGCGTGCTGGAGCCGTTGCTGACGGCGATGCGTGGAAGCGGCAACGTCACGGTGCTGGAATGGGGCTGCCAGCTGCTGGGCAACTTGTGGCGTGTGTCCGAGAATTCACCCCTCCCTGTCCCTCTGGCTGAGTTGGCCCCCTTCGTGCCCCTCCTGGCCAACCTCGTCGCCGCACCTGAGCAGGATGAATCGGTGGTGCGATCTGCACTAGCGGCCTTGGCGGATTTTGGGAGGTTGTGTATGGACGCGGCTCAAGGTCAGCCACCAAACATCAGGACACGACACACCACCAAATGCTGCTGCATGGCTCGCTGTGTCTGTCCTGATTGCCTCTGATCGGTGATTTCGCTTATAGGTACCGATGCTGACCGTGACGTGTTGGTCGAGTGTGGTGCCGTGGCATCGATGAAGGCACTGCTCGAGTCGGCCGACTTGTGGAAGGTGAAAGCTGTCGGATGCGCCATAGTCTTGTTCATCACTGGAGGTAAAACGGCCACACATATCACAGCCACCCCATCAAGCACGTCATGTGTGTGGTGCCGGCTTGCTGCTCAGGTTATACAGGCAGTACTACTCCTCACCGACAGGCGGTCATCGATGGTGGGCTGGTGCCTTTGCTGGTTGACACAGCGGCAGCGGCCAGTGGGGAAGCCGCACTGGGGCTAAAGGAGATGGCAGCCCAGGCCATCGGAAACATAGCTATGGGATCACAGCAACAGGTGCGTATTGTAGCGGCCGAGATGCATATCACACACACACACATCACACACACACAAAAGCGCTTTCCATTCTGTGCAGACCGAGTATGTTGTTGAGTGCGGCGGCGTCCAGCCTCTCTGTGACCTGCTCCAGGCCGCCGAGAACCTCAGGAACATCCAATCTACTCTCGCAGTCCTCAAGGAGATACTGAGGTAAAATGAGACCAGCCAAGTGCACACAAACGCTTTACATACCGTGTGTTGCCTGTGTGTGTCATCCATGCAGTGCGGGTCGTGAGAAGCAGGCCAACGAGGGCCTCCCCGACAACCCCTACTCCACACTAGTGGAGCAGGTAATTGGACAGCAAACGAGAGGAAAGAACACTGCAGCCCGACACACGCACAGAGCCAAATGGCTGTGTGATCGTTCAACCTCGTCCATGCAGGCCGGCGGTGTGGACAAGATAGTCGAGCTGCAGACACACAACGACATGAACATCGCAGCGCAGGTGCCCATCAACGCGCCCATGGCGACAAGGGACGCAGACACACAGTGTGGGTGGTCTTTTGATTCATTTAGGCATCTTTGTTTCTCCTCAACCGTTTCCCCGCTCGCGTCGATCTTCATCGGCTGGAAGCTTTATTCGAGGCGGGTGTGATTCAGGTGGGCCCTGTACACCCAGGTGGCGGTGGGGATGACCAGGCCACCCACGTAGGCGACGACAACAGCGATGGCGATAGCGATATCGCTGGAGAGGGGAATGGGGCGGTGGACGGCCACCTGCAGGGCGATAGTGGGGAAGAGGAGCGATAGATAGCAAAGCCATACCTGGGTATGTTTTTGTATGTGGCTTAGCGGCTGGCTGGAGGGGCGCATGTCAAGGAAACGACAGCCGACAGCCTCAGAGACAGACAAATGGACACATGGATGGATCCCATGGATCGCGTGGACGGATGGACGGATTGGTGAGTTGATGGCTGCTGCTCGCATGTATTCGATCGACACGCAGCGACACGGACGTCGCAACTCTTCACAAATCACAATGAATGGCGATCGACCCGATCGAGACGCGGCCGGGCACATACACACATCGTTCATCGATAAGACGCCTCTCACTCGCGTAGTACTCTTAACGGAAGCAGCGAGAGATAGTTGTCAAGAGTCGAGGCTGAGATATCATCGATCTCTTTGAGCTGAGGCTGGAGCAGACTTGTCGTTACTTCGACGCTCGTATGGCGGTCTGTCTATTCACGAGGTCCATCTGTACAACAATCCATGAATGTGTCCCTCCTGTCTGTCTCCCCACGGCAGGAAACCATGGACTGTCTCCATCGCTCTCTAACCGGCAGCCCTGACCCCTCCCGTCTCCCCCTCTTTCCCTCTCTTCCTCTATTACTCCATCGCTCTGAGCCTCCATCACTCGACGTTGTCCTCCGATAGCGTCTCGTCACTACTAGTGTTGGTGCTGTCGGTGCCATCTGAGCCTGCGTCGGTGTCACTGTCGATGTCGACCATGATGTTCCAGTGAGTGGCGAGAATGGCGCTCGACTGAACCATCACAGCACAGCACAGCACAACACAGCACAGAAATCACACGTGTGAGGAGAGAGACACCCTGCCGTCACGCCGACTGACATAATTCCGTATGTTTTCGTCGCGATGGTGTGTGAGCTGCGAAATTCTGTTCTGACCGTCAGCCTGCACACACGACAGGCCGACAAAGCAGATGGTTCCGGGAGCTCTTTCTATCGCCTGTGTGTGACTCACCTGTTCTATGACGTCGCAGTAGGGATTGTGTGGGAGGCCGTCGCGCGCCTGCACCTGCTCACCCACGCTGCATAGAACAGAACCCCCAACACGGGACAATTCATTGTCACGGCATAAATGCGTCGTGTTGTGACAGAAACGGTACCATAGGAAGTTGTGGATTGCAACGAGTGCCCCACCGAGTATGGCGACCTCAATTCCGTCCACCAACAGATCACACAGCGGCCCGACACACCCACACCCAACCAAATACTCAACCTGAACCACAACGCCGAGACGGACACAGCAGCAATGCAGGATGTTGTAGGCTGAATCAGATCTCGTCTACCTGTGCCTGCGATCCGAGTCCCACTCCGTTGATGATGACGGACAGTGCCCCCTTCTGAACGCTCGGCACATCAGTTGTGGCCATGATGATCACTTGCGGCACCACGCCAGAGTCGATGACTGCCTGAACCTGATCACGATTACCTAATTAGACAAAGACACGCCATTGTTCGCAATGTGTTGTTTGTGTGCCCTCCTGCCTTCATGGACCTACCTCTCATGATGTTGAAGATGGCAAAACAGGCCCCCTTGCGGACGTTCCGCCTTGGTGACGACAGCAACGCCTTCAAGGAAGGAATGGCACCGCAGTCAACCATCTCCTGTGTGTGCACTTCACTGCCTGACAGCACTCACACACAGACACACCAACATCAGAACAGCCATCAACAAGCCATCCAAATCTGTCTCTTCAATCCAGCCTTCCGTGTGTTTGTGTACCCGCCACGATCTTTCCGAAAGCGCATAGTGCATGCCTCCGGACCGTGTGGCTGTCATGCCCCCCCATCAGCTCCACCAGACGACTGCATACACCACTGCCCACCACCGCCTCGATGGCCTCATCGGGCCCCTCATAGGTCAAGTGCGACAGCGCGAGGCACCCCTGTCTGAGCACCTTAGCGTCCTGGTCAGGCCTCCTGATGAGCTCTGCGACCACCGGCACCGCTGGTGACACCAACTCGAAGGGGGGCGGGGGCTGCCTACTGCACAGGTTCGCGAGCGTCCGGCTGGCGCTGCGCAGCATCGACACCTTCTTGCTCTCGCGAAGCACCTTGAGCAGCGGCTCCATGACGCCCGCTGCCAGCACCAAATCACGAGCGGCTGGCCCACCGACTGCGATGTTGCCCAGTGCGCACACGGCCTGGTGGCGCACGTCACCATCAGGGGACGACAGCAGCTGGATGAGGGGCGGGATGCCACCCGCATCGACGATGGCCTGGGTCTGCTCTGATGTGCCCGTCGCGATGTTGGCCAGTGCACACGCCGCGTCACCTTGGAGGGTCGGGCGGCCCGAGTCACTGAGCAACCCCACGAGTGGTTGAATGACACCCGCATCGACGGCCTCCTGGATGGGCGGCACTCCTTCGATGGCGAACAGCTCGCGGACTGCCGTGGCGGCCTCGAGTTGGATGGCTGCATCGCCGCCGTTGAGTCCTCGGGCCATGACGCCGAGCAGAGAGGTCATGCTGACCCCCACCACCACCCTTTGCCGCCGTGAGGTTGCGATGCTGCAGAGGGCGCTCGCCACGTAGACGCGCACAGCAAGATCCGGCCACGAGAGCTGCTGCAAGAGACCGGAAATGGCATCGGCCTCAACAAGGGCGTCAATGGCATCGGTCTCAACGAGGGCGTCAGCAGGTGCGGCCCTCTGTCTGGCATCAATGACGACGTCAGCCGCAGCCGCAGCGATGGCGGCCAGACATTTGGCCGCCTCGGTAGCTGTGGAACGGCAACAGCTGCTGAGAAGACCAACGAGCACCGACACATCACCGATGGCGTCGATGGCCGCCTGGGCGTCCTTTTCGATCCGCTGGTGCAGCTCACGGAGGGCACTCAGCTTGACGAAGGAGAGGTGGCCAGAAAGGCGCTTGACGAGTTGAGGAGTGGTCATGAGGTCGGGCCATATCAACGATGAGATGGCTGTCCAAAGGGCGCTGAAGAAGGCTGAAACGCCTCGCATCACGCCAAAGGAGGCGGCATCACCAGACGAGTCCGTCAATCGTCGACAACGTATGGATGGATTCGCAGAGTTTGTCCACTTTGGCCAGGCTCTGCTGTGCTGCCTGCCGACTCCATTGCCTCACAGCTGCGAGGAACAACACACATACACACAATGTGCAGAATGGTCCATTCCTGCTCCGATTTATCCATCTGACCTGGTCAGTGGTCGGCGGCCCTTCACTCCACTTCGCTGCTGAATGGTCCCACTGCCGCCCTACTCTCTCGCCCCGACCTCACGACGCACACCTGCGAAACGAGATAGACCTGGGCTGCCCGTGCATGCCCTCTGGTCCCTCGCTCATGGCTGCTCACTCACCGACAGAGATCTCCTCCGCAGCGCGCGAGATGGATGGATGCGGCCCGGCAGCAGGCGAGGCACTCAACGCCAAAATAGAATGGAACAGGCGGCTAAGGTCTGGCGGCTCACGAGAACGTCGTTTTTTCTCGTCCTCATCGCCGGCATCCATTCCGGCTCGCATCGATTCGATCGTTCCTCGACGGGCCTCTTCCCCTGTTTCAGCGCTTGTGATGCCTTCCAGAGGGCAGCAGGAGCCCCATCAGGCAGAAGTTGATGGTTGGAACTCATCGCTGAGGCCTATCGCACGGCATCGCATGGCAGCTGTCAAGTGAGGGGAGCAGGACAATGGGAGATGGAGTGATGACTGATCAATCAAAAGAGGTGCTCTGTGTTGTTCGGTTGTCTGACAAACAGGACGGTAGCATGAAATGGCCGCAGCAGAGAGGTGCGCACGACTCGCACACAAGAGCACACAGCACACGCACTCAGGTGTGTGCTGTGCTGTGATGTCTGTCATGTGTTGCAGCCGTGTTGGTGGGTGGGATGGTCAAGAGAGCAGCGTCGATGGGCTGCCGCGACGCGACCCTCATGCGGGCGGTGCGGCTGCTGGACGTGTGCCGCGCCGACCGACTCATCGACACAACGACGCCACGCAGGCACGAGATAAGAAGGGAATGTCAGTCAAGCAACGACTCGTGGAACTCGTGTGTTTGTGTGTCACTTGCCTGGCTGCTGACACACAGATAGCAGATGCGTGTGTGGCCGCCTGCGTCGAGCGGCTAGAGCCACACCTGCTGATGGACGACATACCGGATGACCCCCCCCACACACAGGCAAAGGTACTGATACATAGACACAGACACGCACACGACGCACACTTGTGCACACCGACCTGTCTGTCCGTTTCACTCTGTGTGTGCAGGTGATGAAGCGTGTGGCGGTTGATATTTCTGTGTGCGGCATTGAGTGTCTGGATGGGCTGTTCACTGCTGCCGGCATGGACACCCACGGCCGCCTGTTCTCATTCGCCAAATACCTCATGGTCAGTCGGGCAGCCAGTCACACACAGACACCTCCAGCTATCGAACGACTTTCCCTGTCTGTCTTTGGTTCTGAGTCTGCAGTTCTTGTCGCTGTGTGACATCGACTTGGCCGCGTGCGATGTCCGTCTGCTAGCCGCCACGGGCGTCTACATCACACGCAAGACCATTCAGGGCCAAATAGCGGGCCGCATATGGGTGAGCCAAAGCGGCACGTGTCATGACGTGTCTATGGCCTGTGTGGGTTTGTGTGTCTGATTGTTCAATGTCAGAGTACCGCCCTTGTGGGTCAGAGTTCGGTTAGCGAGTCGGCGTTGGAGTCTGGCATGACGACGTTGAGGATGCAGCGGCTCATGTAGGGCGACACACAGACCACCAAAGGGGTGAGCATGTCAACAGAATAGTTGGATCACCAACACAGCACCGTGTTGATGTCACTGTGTCGTCTGTGGTGTGCGTGCAGATCGTGACCGATGCTGTAGATGAAATGTTCGCCTCGCCTGGCCGCCACGGCGTCGCATCGACCCGCAGCCACCCGCAGCAAGAGCAGCAGCATCAGGTGGGTATGACACAACCGACCGACATGCACCAGATGTGCCTTGAGTATCGATCTGCGTTGTTACGTGTGTGTGCGATCTGCAGGCGGGCAACCAGCAGCACCCCCTCACCCACCTGTTCGCCGAAGACCGGTGCCGCATCCCCGACATCGGCACCACACTGCAGCTGAGGGCAGCCTCACGAGGCATCAGAGACGCCTTCTCATTAGACCAGCTGCGCAGCCGACTCGACCACTCACTGAGCCGTGATGGCGACGGCATCACACACAAGCACCCACAGCGCCAGCAGCAGGTGGGTCTAGTAAGCAACAGATTGCCACCTCTCCTGATGTACCTTCTTGATTGGCTGTTTTCAGGCGTCTGTGTGGTGGCTGGCGTTGGTGTGGCTGTGGCACCTCTGCTGTCGAGTGTGGTCATGGTGTTCGGGGCGGCCCTCATCTGACCAACAGCAGCACCCCCTCGCCCACCTCTTCGCCGAAGACCGCTGCTGCATCCCCGACATGGACACCACAGTACAGCTGACGGACACAGCCCAGTGCGTCAGAGACGCCTTCTCATCAACACAGCTGCGCAGCCGGCTCAACCACTCGGTGGGCCGTGGCGGCATCGACACTCCGTTGGTGCAGCTGCTGCGGTTCGACCAATCGCTGGAGATGGGCGACCTGCTGGCGGCGGTGTGGATAGCCGAGGAGGGGGGGCGGTGGGATGAGACGCGGGAGGTGCTGCAGAGGGCCAGCCAGTGCGGCTACTGCACGCTGCCCATCAACCTCACGGCAGATGACATCAACACACACCCCAACAAGACGGTAAGGCACACACACAGAGGGGCGGGGAGACAGCAGAGAGGCCTCATCCTCTCTCTCTGTCTTGTGTGTGTGTGGTGTCGTGTAGGCGTATGGATCGGTAGCTCGTGTGTTGGCGCAGCTCATGGTGGTCGGCCGCCACATCGACTTCGGTGAGGGCAGCCACCTGCAGATGTTCCGCTATGGCAATGGTGAGGTGCGGGCCATCAAGGACGAGCCCGACTTCCGGCTGACCGTCGACCCGCCCCTCCCTGCCCACCACCATCTGTATCAGCGGCACCGACAGCAGCATGACCCCCCGGTGGTCAGCCGCATCTACTACTCGCCCCTCATCAACCGATGCGTCAGTGTCGTCGTTTGCCAAGAAGATGATCTTCCACCACTTCTACTGGACTCACTATCAGCTCTCTGCCACATCGATACGACCCAACAGGTAACACACCACTGCCACCAGTGTGGCGAGAGGGGTGTGTGTTCGATTGGGTGTCTGTGTGTGTGGGTGGTTCAGGTATGTTGATGGCGGCCGTCTGAATGGCCTCCTCGCCCAGTCGCCCCACACACCAGTGGCCGGATGCACCACCACATTCAGCTGGTGCACAACCGCACTCGACCAGGACGCTCGTGTGCGACAGCTGGTGCTGACCAACAGCAGCGACGACTTCGTCGCATGGATTACGATTTGGGATATGGGAAACAAATACTGTCAGGCCGGCAGACAGGCAGGTCTGGTGACCGAACATCATTAATGCTCTCTCTCTCTCTCTGATGATCTGCAGTGCGGCTTAGCGTCGTGACGACCGAGGCGCCTGTGGCTGGTGCTGGTGCTGGTGGCGCCTTCAAGCATCGCTTCCCGGTCACCACTCGGCTGACCCGTGTGGCGCTGGGGCCTGGAGTGGCGCCATTCGTGTTCGACGGACAAGTGTGATTCAGGTGGTCGTTGAGCAAGGTGGGGGCGGTGGGGGTGAGGATGATCAGGCCACTCACGTGAGCGACGACAGAAGCGGTGGCGATTGCAATGATAATCACAGTGATGTCGATGGAGAGAATTTTGCTGCAGACGGGGAGGTGGAGGTGGACGGCCAGCTGGAAGGGCGATAGTCGGGGAGATGAGCGATAGATCGATGGTCTACACATGTATCAGTGTGTCCAGCCTTTCGCGCACTGGGCGAAGAGGGAGAGACGCATCGCATGGCTGACTGACTGGATGCTCGCGCTTGTATGCACAGATTAAAGGAAGAATGCTTTGCAAATCTCAACGTACGTATTATATCTGGAGCCAACGAGACACACAATGGTCTGAATGTAACGCCGACACCACATCTAGACATAGATAGAGGGGTCGCTGCACAGGACTGCACAGGTGCGCGGCGATAACATCCAACCAACACTCCAACACTCGTCAAAAAGATCCACACACACACTCACACAGACAGACAGTCATGTCATATACACTTAGCCATCCACACACATACACACACGCAACACAGATGCACGGAAAGCTCTACAGGGATGGATGGATGGATAGATAGATGGACGCACACCAGCTGCCTGTCGGCACGCACGTACGCAGCAAGAGAGGGAACGGTAAGAAAACAACCGACCCCATCTCACCCAGCCCCCCCAAACCCATCCAGAGAGGCAAAAGAGAAAGCAGCCGCTACGGTACTGTCGGCCAACTGAGATGCGAGCACACGCCGAGCGTCCGCTCGGTCGGCATGCGCGCAATCACATCCGTCAGTCTTCTTCTTTGTCATCCTCCCCTGATCTCAGAAAATTGGAGAGCTTGTACGGGTGGTTCTGCACACAACATACAGACACAGCAACAGACAAAGCCACACAGACACACAGATGGTCCAAGACACTCGCTCTCTCGTCCCTCCCTCCCTCCCTCTCTCTCTCTCTGTTATCTGCTGACCTTTTTCTCCTTCTTGGCCTTCTTTGCCTTCTTCCTCCGCCGCCTCCTCTCAGAGGAGCCGGAAGAGCTGCTGCTGTCACTGTCGCTGTCGCTGCGGCTGTCGTCGCTGCTGTCGTCGCGCTTCCTCTTGCGCTCGCCGTCACGGTCTCTGTCGCGGTCGCGGTCTCTGTCACCACCCTTGTCCTTCTTCCTGGTGCTGCGGCTCTGCTTCTTGGCCTCCTTGCGGATCCGACGCAGCTCCTTCTTCTCCTGCTTGCTAATCTTGACGTCCCTGAATTTCTAAGACCACACACACATACACACACACACACACATACACACGCACACGGTGATATATGTCATAATGCCTTCTGTGTTGTGTTGTGTTGGTGTTGGTGGCGTGTCGCACCCACCTCCAGTTCGTCGCGATAGTTTTCGTTCTCCCACTTCTCGAGTGCCTCGCTAGAGGTGGCGTCCTTCTTGTGTACGATCTTCTTGAAGTCGTCCCAGCTGGGCCGCGACTCCCTCTGCAGCCGCTCCATCATGCTGGGACCGCTCGGCAAGATCTTCCGACGATTCACCACCATCGGGTTGGGGATTCCGCCCGCCTGGAACCCTCGCTGCTTGCCCATGGCGACCGACTGACACAAGGGAGGGCACGGGAGCCTTCAGACAGACCGACACGTGAGCGACAGATGCTCAGATGCAAGACAGGACGACGGGAGACCTTGGGCCTTGACAAACAGACGCTAAGTAGAGCCCTCTGTTGCCGCTAAAGCCTGAGAGGGACGGAGTCTTACTCTTCTTTCTGTTTTCTCCTTTCAATTGTCCCCTCTGCGAGCTTTTGCGAGCTTTTCTTCAGAAGAGCAGAGCGGACGAAGAGGCTGACGGCGGTGAGGTGTAGCATCCATGCAGCGGAACCCGCAGCCATGAGTGAGAATATCACAATTGGAACCATCGGATCTCACCTCATGCATTCCCGCATTCATTTGGCTTTCTGATGTCGATGCAGGCACAGAGGAGGATTGGGGAAGGTCGTCAGAGATGCCGCCAAGGCGGCAGGACGGCTCTGAAGCCCAGTATGCACTGCAGGTCGGCCAATTAAGCCACAGACAGAGTCCTGTACGAGGCTGACAAGACGCCGATGGCAATGCCATGCCGAGTGCCCAAGCATGCGTGGTGGGTGCAGGTGGTTGAGGAGTGTGTGTCGATGGTGGCGCGTTCATCGCATCCCCTGGCCGCCCAACTCAAGGGCAACAACGCCATAGAAAACGCGAAGATACTCAAGACCGTCATCAAACAGCATCTGGTACAGACAGACAGACAGGCGGAAATGAAGAGAGAAAGAATGAACGCCTGATAGTCTCATTCTTCGTTGTGCACATTCTCCTCACAGCAGCAGCAGCAGCAGCAGCAGCAGCCGCAGTCGTGTGTGGATGGGGTAGAGGGATCGGGATGGGAGGAGGCGTGCGTCGTGTCGCGTGTCGACAAGTCTGGCGGAGGCCATGCCAACGGCGGCAAAGAGCCGCGGGGGTCATGCTCTTCAGCCAGCAAAACGGTGAGTGATGTCGAGGGCAGACCTGCACAGGCAGGATGCTTTCTGGGTGTCTGTGTGCTCGTGTGTGTGTAGGGGACCCGTGCTGTGTCTGCTGCGGCGGTAGTGCCATTCGTTGATAAGGCACAACAGGTAGGTACTGATACAAAGGAAAGGCCCAAGAGAGAATCGCATCACATCACACCTGCCCACTGACATGTCATGTATGGTGCATCAACGCAGACCACGGCCGAGGACGGCACACTCACGGCCGAAGAGGTAACACCCAAACCCATGTGTCGCGGATGGATGGATGGATCCACCCAGACCAGTCGTGTGTGCTCAATCGACTGTGCGTGTGTGCAGTTGAAGGAGCTGCAGATATCGCTGGACGTGCAGATGGCCCGCATGATGGAGGAGAAAGACAGGTAGGCGGCGGGGAGACGGGACGACGGCACAATTAAGGACAAACGACAACACAACTTCATTTCCGTGTGTGTGTGTGTGTGTTTATCAGTTTGTCGGAGTTGGAGATACGTCTCAAGGAGAGGGAGAGCATCGGAGCCAAGACGTATCCAACACATGCACACACACCTCTCCCTCCCCGCCACTGTCACGTCATGGTTGTGCGTCTCGTTGCATGCTGCATGCAGGTTGCAGGGCCGCGAGATGCAGATGGTCCAGAGAACCAACGAAATGCGACGCAGGGAGGTCAGATACACATACCCCGGGGGGCCTCCCATAGCCCATCCTACCTCCCTCCCTCCGTCTCTGTGTGTTTGTGTGTCAGGATGCGTATCGTCATGCTCGTGAGGCGTTGCGTATCGAGAGGGCGGTGTTCGATCGCGAGAAGCAGGAGCTGCAGAGGCGCGTTGAGCGGCTCGAGCAGGAGAGACACAACAGGGGCACGTCCCAGCCCAATACCCACACCAACAGCACCAGCACCAATGCCAGCCAACACCAGCAGCAGCAGCAGCCACAGGGTGAGTGAGATGAGCATCATGTGTGTGTTGAGCACAGAAAATGGGACGCTCTGATGTATCCCTCTCTCTCTCTCTCTCTCTCTCTCTGTGTGTGTGTGTGTGTGTGTGTGTGTGTCAGCCATGTTGATGTCCGACAGCCCTGCGTCTCACGTGGTGAGCTCCTCGCCCAGCACGCCATCGCCCTCCCTCGAATACACCCACATGCCCAGCGACGCGAGCATGTCACTCCCTCCTGCATCGGCATCAGCAGCGGCAGCAGGTGGGAGTGTGGATGATACCAACGCGCGTGCTAGCAGGGGGGAGAGGGGAGAGGGAGAGGGAGAGGGGGGGCCTTAGACTGCACAGGCGCATTGAGGTTGGGTGGATGGACAGATGTATGGGTGGGTTGGTGAGGGCGATGCGTGTGTGACGAGGTAGAGAGGACAGATGCTTCAGATGGATGTCATGCCGTGAACATGAATTCGATGTCTGTCTGGCTCAGTTCAGTGAGTGCCCTTTCGGCACACGTGGGCCAGTGCAGATACACACAATGAGTGTCTGAGGGGTCTTGCACTCAGAATGGACTGGCGGTCTTGCGTTGTCGAAGGAATACCTCACTGTCTGCTAAGCGCTGTTCAGAAACAAACGGCAAAGCTCGCATGCCTAGGGTGCTCCATGAAACCGCTGCTTGAAGGAGTTTTGAAGCTTGTGATTGGCAAAATTCTTCCCGCTGCCACTCTTGCTGTCGTGGGCTGCCTGCGTTGTGGACCAACTTGTGGTAAGATCTCATTGTACCAGATCGGTTTCTCTCATCCATCGCCTTCTCGTCTGGCTGATGCTGCTGTGTGCTCGTGATCTGTTCAGGCTGAGTGCCGCCATGTTGCTCCACGCCCTCTCAGTCTCCCTCCTCGCTTCACTAGCGTCATGCTTCCTGCTCCCGTCCCCATCCACCCGACCCTCCCTCCGTGCTGTCAGCACATCTCTCAGATCAAGGTCTCCCCTCTCGAGGCTGCATCAGACCACAGCTGAGGCGCCTCCACCCCAGCCCACCAAGTACGTGTCGAGGCGGCAGCGGAGGAAGATGGCCACGCCTCCGTCTGATGTCGAGACGACGGCTGCTGAGAAGAAGGATGAGCAGCAGCATCAGGGGGGAGAGGAAGCAGCAGCTGCGGCGGTCAGGCAAGAGGAAGCGAGCCTGCTGCTGAGCGGTCCTGTGATAAAGGTGGAGTACGTTGACGAGTGGAACGGCGGCTGGATGAGCGACGTGGTCATCGACTATGGCGGGGGCAAGACCACCAAGCACACCGTCACTGTCGGCTTCTTCTTGTACAATGACGTCGTGACAAAGGTTCGCCTGCCTGCGTGCGTCTATGTTGGTGGAAGGGAAATGGCGCAATCCGTGTGTGTGTGTGTGTGTGTGGCCAGGCCAATCGTGAGGTTGACCCCGAGACCCTGGTCAAGTACATCTTCAAGTTCATGCTGGACCGGAAAATGAGCATGGACAACACTGAGGTGAGGCGGCTCACTCGCCACACAACTCCCAACACCCAACACCCAACACCCAACACACCCACCTCTCACGTCCTTCTTCTCTGTGGCTGCGGTGCGGCGTGCAGGGCATGATTGATTCTTCCGTATTCCCGGTCAACTACTTCTCAGCGGCGCAGGTGGAGTATGTGCACGAGGACTTCAGGGACCGACTGGCAGACATGGTGGAGAACCAGCTGCAGATATGACTGACAAGGCGTGGCCGACGGAGATGTCGTCGACAAAGAGCAATGTTCTGGCTGGGTGCTGCTGCTTCACGGACGAGGGGTGCGTGTGGCCATTTGTCATGTGTGTGAGATCCGAGAGTGTCCGGGCGGAGAGAGAAAACTCCATTTTTACCTGTGGATAGGGTGCCCTGCAGAGAGAGATGTGAGAGAGCGGCTGTTGATGGGTGTTTCCATGCGACGGAGAGAGAGAGAGAGAGAGAGAGTGAGTGAGAGAGAGAGAGAGGTTTGTGTCGATGTAGCTACTGCTACGGACACATCCCACAGACTCTGATGTGATGAGTGAACGCTTTCCTGTTTTAACCAATCGCGCGTCCATTGACCCCCACACACGGAGCATGTCGCTTCCTCGCGTCACATAGCTAGAGCATTCCCTCGCCCATCTCTCTCGGCTGCTCTGTCTGTCGCCTCTGCTCTGTCTGTTGCTGCGCCCCGTCAGCACTCCACCGATACGCACTTCGCCGCCTGGTCTCTCGCGGGATCATCAGCACGCTCTTCCGACTCAGGGCGAGGTCATCGGAGTGCCTTCGTTTGATGGCGTCCCACGTCTTGGCCACCTCGTCCATCAGCTGGCGTTCCTTCTCTGTGGCCTCGATGGAGCCGCGGCGATATTTCCATAGACGGAGAAGGAAAGACTCACTCACCTGTGGACAGACACACAGACAGAGTATGTTGTTTGTCCAGGTGAGGTGAGGCGTGTGTATGTTGGCAGGGGGGAAGTATCAGCGAGGTACGTACGTCTGTGTGTCTCCTCTGTAGCTGCATGGCGGCGACGATGCTGAGGAGGTAGAAGGCGAACATCATCAGGAAGACACCGGCAAATATCACCAGCAGAGACGGCAGCCACTGCACACCACACCCAAGACAAGACAAGACAGCGCATCACATCACATCCCGAAATCGATCCTCACACCAACACATCACAGACAGCAAGGAGCTTACGCTTCTCTCCTTGCTAGAGGGGAGTGGCAGTGTGTAGATGGACCCCGTATACAGAGACACCGCCAGCACCAGCGTCGCCACAGCCCAACCCATCGACGTCCGGAGGAATCCTCGGCCCACAGGGTGCACGCCCAGCTTCTTCTCCGTCACGGCCAGCTCGATGGCGCGGTAGCCCGAGAAATGGTCCATCAATATCTTGATTCGCGCCTCGTCTTCATTTCTGGGGACGAATGGGAGTTTGCAAGTGTGGTGGGCCGGGTCCATGAAGCACTGGACCCTGGCTATCTGCTGCAGGGCCGTCTTGATGGCGCTGTCCGCCATGGGCACGTCGGTGAAGGGGAAGAAGGTAAACTTGACCACGAACGACACAACGGACAGGCCTGCAGACACAGACAGAGACAGAAGGGCACTTAAAACATTTTGCGCCGTCTCTCTCCCACCTCTCTCTCTCTCTGTGTGTGTGTGTGTGTGTGTGTGTGTACCGAGGGGCAGGTATGCGAAGAACATTCTGATGATTTGGATGACGTGCCATGGCTGCGGCTGCGGCGCGCCGTCAACGGACGGGACGAACCCTGATGACGCCTGAGCACACAGAGACACACTCGCCGTCACATGTGCGCGTGCCTCATCTCGTATGTATCTGTCCACCAGAATGGCGAGTGGGAGTGCGGCTGCTGGTATTGACACCAGCTTGGGCGCGAAGGACGCGAACATGGTGAAGTTGGCCTCCGTCCTCTCGCCTGAACGAACCTGCGAAGACGGAGACATATGTGCAGTGCTGGGCGTCTGCGACATGATGCATGCCTCGTCATAGTCGATGCAGAGGCCCAGCATGGTCTCCCTGCACACACAAGACACAAGACACAAGACACAAGACAAGCATGTCTCTTCCACACCCACACACCACTGAGTGGGTGTCACGGCCTACGTGAGGAACTTGGCGCCAAGCGGCAGCCCGTTGATGACGCAGCACGCGATAGTCAACCACATCTGGCCCTTCCCAGTCACCAGGAAGAGCGACGTCGTCAGCGCGTTGGTCAGGTTGAAGACCAGCCACATGGGGTAATCTCCGAAACGGCGCGCGAGCATGAACCACACGGGCATCGCACAGATGGCGGCCCCGAGAAACGAGACGCCCGTGATGCCGACCCAGGATGACGTCTGGCACTGCCAGCTCATGATGTCGCGGCTCTTGGCGTTCTCGTAGCAGCTCTGCTCAGGCGCTATGACGTACCTCACTCACCGTCGGATTGAGAGACGTAAACAGATTGCAAATGAGAAGTCAAACAAACATGCAACGTACTGAAAGTAGAAGGGGATCATAACAGCCTGCATCTGGGCGACGAGTACGTCGAAGATCCATGCTGAGAGCAGCACTCGGAAAGGTTGGTTGCCCATGGTGTTGAGCAGGTTGGGCACAACCTTCAGCCAGCTGCTCTCGCCCCTGCTCTCTCTGGGGTGCTCGCGGATGCACCACACCACCAGCAGCGTCGACACCACATGAAAGCCAGCGAAGAAACCACCGACGATGGTCAGTGCTAGCCCTGCCGCCCTACTGTGATGGGAAGTCTCACATTTCATCAGCTGGGCGTGCGGCGACGCGCAGAGGCCCGTCTTGTGGTCCAGAATGCACTGTGAGAAGTCGCATGGCGCTTTCCACATCGACTGGATGACGACCGGCAGAGTGGCTGCGAGCAGGGAGCCGACGCCTTCGAATAGCTTGACGAAGCAGAATATGTTTCGTCTCTCTCTGGGGTCGGTCGTCAGCTCCATCCCCAGTGCATTGTGCGGCACATGACACAGGGTGTCTGCCAGAAAGTAGAAGATATACGCCATGCCGAACCAATACCTGACCAACCAACCAGCCAGATCAAACCATGCACCTTCTCTTGGTGTCTCTCTGTGTGTCTCTCTCACCCGACGGAATCTCCCTGTTTCAGCCATGGCGGAGGGGCACATAGCATGAACAGGAAACCGGCGTACAGAAATGTGCCCACAAACATGAACGGCCGCCGTCTGCCGAAGGGTGTGGCGGCCCCATCAGTGATGTTGGCCATACATGGGTCAGACAAGACGTCGAGCGACCTTCCAATGGCCTGAAAGAAGGCCATCAAGGCCAGCGACGTGCCTGAAGGAAGACGACAAACGAGTGAATGTGTTTTGTCTCTGTTCATATCTCGCCAGCGTACCTATCTCTTCGTAGTAGGTGAGGAGGTGTATGTTGATGAGGAGCTGGATTGATATTTTGGACAGGTCAGGCATGGAGTAGACGAAGACCTTCCATATCGGCACCTTGCCCTCGAGCGGGCTTGCGTTGGGGCACACAACGACTGACCGCCTGATGGAGGCCCGCTCAATCTCCTTCCAATCCGATGTCTCCTCCTCTGCGTGCAAGCACACATGTCATTGTGTGTCGCCCATCTGCTGCGTCCTTACCTTGCGTCTTCTCGTGCAGCAACACGGAGTAAAACCCTGTTTGCATGCCCGTACGACAACAACAAGGATGACACGGACGTTGATCATGCTGATCATTGTGTTCACCTCCGACAAGCTCAAAGGCCTCCAACGGATCAAACACGACGGTGGTCCCATTCTCGTGGATGGACACAAATGAGACGGTCTCCAGGCGCTGCCCAGCCTGAGTCACCAGCTCACAGCACGCGTCATAGAAGAGCTTGCGAATGCGGCTTTGGCGCTCCTCTCCTTTGGCAGAGGGCGACATTTCCGATGGCGGGAACTCCAGCGTTCGGCTGTATGTCTGCCCGGCGTGGGAGAGAGTGAGCGTGACTGGAGGGGGAGGCCTGGGCTGCGAGGGAATGCACCCCATATTTTTTGTGTCGGCCAACTGTCGCCGAGGGACTGGGGGCCAGGATTCCAAACCGCATGCAGCCCCCTCTCCCGGGCCGCGATGTTCCTCACCGACGCCCTCGTCGTCCTGTTGATATTTGTGGACCCACCACTCTGCCGCTGCCTCTTCGTTAACACAATGCGGGAGGAATCAATCCCACACCGACTTCTCCCTGCCGCATTCGCGCTCTTCAGTGTTTCGCCTGTCAAGACGGTCGTGCATTCGGCTCATCTCTCTGCAAATGGACCAGGCGACGAGAGTGACCTGACCAGCGACGAGAGCGACGCAGGTAAGGAAGATGATGAGAGAAGCCCTCTGCACGGCTTCTCCTGTTCTATTTGCAGTGGCCACGCCAGAGGGCTCCTTTGAATACATCGTCACTTTCACCAAGAGTATGACAAGGCAGATGGACTCATGGGTGGCTGAGAGACCTGCAATGTGTCCATTTGTGTCTGTCTCTGCCTGCATCATTGCAGAGTGCTCCAAATGGGGAGAAGTGTGCCTGAAGGCATACCGGCGCAAGACCGCCGCCTCCCACGCCATCGTGCAGAGGCTCAGAATGATAAGCGGGACAAGCCAGCATCACCCAGAAGAGGCCACGACAACCGCCGACGCATGGGAGTACCTTTCAGAAAGGTGAGGTGGCTCTGCACTGGTGTTGTGTCCTCGCGAGACACAATGCTCTTTCCCCCAATGTATGAGTGCAGGTTGCGAGAGCAGCATTCGCCTCAAGAGGAGCTGCTTTGTCAGCAGAAGGCGGAAGTCGGCGGAGTGGTCGGACCGACTACTGCTGGGCAAGAGGTCTATCAATGCTGCCATGGTGCCGATGCGGACAATTTCCTTTCCGTCCAGCCTGACCGCTTTCAACACATACCAGCCGACAAAAAGAGTGACAAGTGAGCGAAGAGAGCGGCCCAGAAGTGGTGCAAATGCATCCATCCACATTTGTGTCCCCGTGTTGAAATGCAGGTACCGTCGCTTGCAGCGGTTCTGCTGTCCCAACTTCCAGCCGGTCCGCCTGACTGACCTGTGGAGGGCTTGGGCCCACCTCTACCACGAGGATATGCAGCATCTCCCGTCACTGAAAGAATTCCTATGGCCCGAAGGGCCGGCACTTGGTGGATTTGGTCTCGGTCTTGCGAGCAGGCCCAACGCTCCGAGGCCCCGAATCTCGCCCCAGCTGGAGAGGTGGGCCGCCGGGACAGGGCACTGACATTGTCCATATCGGCCTTCAGATGATGTATATGGCCATGCCGCCTTGGTCACATGCAGGTATGTGTGTGACTTGGTGGAGAGGGCGGGGCTGCCGAGGCTGCCTGGACAGCGACAAGAGAAGGGCGCCCCCATTTGGGGGCACTATTTCGCTCCGGATCACTTGTTGCAGCTCAAGAGGGACCAGCTGGCTGACCATTGGGACAAAGGCACATGTGCGTGACAAATCCACCCTTCGTATTGTCTATGTATCCACACTGCTTGTTTGTCAACTTGTGACAGGTATGCCTTCTCTCATTATCATGGAAGAATATGTCCATTCTCACGAGTCCTCAAAGCCCCAGCGCGACAGCCTGCACGCCATCGACATGATCAGCCACATCAACCAATTCTGTAGGAATGAACGATACAGTACCGATCGTCGACTACTGCCATTTCTCTTCTGTCGTCAGGCAGTCATGGTGGCGGCGCGCGTGACGGCAACTGCTATGCATTCGCCCCACCGGACAATCTGGAATTCGCAGAACCGATTTACATCTATCCTGACGACTCCAAGCAATACGAGGCCAACCAAGCCATGTGCTTCAAGGTGAGAGATGGGAACATCGGAATGAGTGACTGATTTCCCTGGGTGTTCGTATCTCAGGGCTTCGAGCCGATTAGGATATGGGACGTGTGGCGGCTGTGGCGGTGGCAGCACTACAATGCCGTGCAGGATGCGCACAAGAATGCCAAGCAGGAGGTCCACTGCAGCATCCATCGGGTCCTCACTGGAGTCTCTAACTGCCAAGAGTCCATCAGAAACATCTCTGCAGAGGAGTCGCTGGAAAGACTGATCGATGTCATGGTTAGTCCGCCAGTCATTGATTCATTGGCCTGGGGAACATCACCCGCCTTTTCGGATATGATCTGTTGCCTTGACTCCAGGCCAGGAAGAAGGCGTTTGTGACTCACGTCGGCAAAGGGCCCTTTCAGCACATCTGCAACGCCCTGTGGACCTACCTGCCGCCACCGAGTGACCCAGCCTCCCAGAGCGATGAATGGACCACATGGATGCGGCACATGATCAGCTCCCCTCCTCCAAATCTGGCACAAGTGGCGGACTTTCATCTTGGATTCTGTAAGTCTCCGACACTATGTGTGAGAGGAAATATGGGTCTCGTGTCTCATTCGGCCAATCCTCTGTCGGTCTCTACAGGCTTGCCATCGTCTTGGAAGAGCGCGATAAAGGAGCTGCCTGCAGGAGACCCGCCATATGTGCCCTCATCAACAGCAGAGACCATCAGAAAACACTTCTTCAACATCTGTATGGAAGAGAAAGAGAGACACGCAAGCACACCTCCCGTCATGCATGTCGTCAGGCTCCCACAGGGGCTTGAGCTACCTCACCCCTGCCATGTACACGGATGTCGGCAGCCCACCAGGGACACTCCAGTGTCCGGAGGGATACGCGCCGACATCCATGCGAAAGGCCTGGTGGGCAGACAGGCAGATAAACATTAGACAGGACGACACAGTATCTCGCGTCTGTGAGATGTGATCATCATTGTGATGTGTGTCTGTCGTTAGGTCGGTGGTGATAGCAGATTACCTGGACATGGAGCGGAACCTCATCCGGGCAGGCCATGAGGTGCCAGTGAATCTCACAGAAAAAGAGAGAAGCGAACTTCACGGGCTTGTGTCGTCCGTCTGGCCGTGCAGCGCAGTCTGATGTCGGGTTCTGTCGCTGACTTCTGGCAGCTGACACTCTACAAGTTCACCCGGACGGAGGCCGTCCATCATATTCTGCAGAGGAAAAGAGCAAAGGTGAGATGAGGTGACGTGAGGACACCACCGAGCCATCCATGCCTTCACACACACGTTTGTGTGCAGCTGGGGCCATGGGACACACTGTGCCGGTCGCTGCCGATGCCATGGAACGCAGAGCAGCTGACGGAATACTTCGACCCACCTGCACTCATCAGCAAACTCAAGCCCGAAGTCCGGCAAATGCTCGACAACGAGCATTGTGAGCCTAACAGACGCACAACACAGAGAGACACAACACACCAACACACTCTTAGCTGCATTTCTTTGTCCATATGGATGTGATGTGCAGGCCTCCCGGAGTCGTTTGCAAGGACGGCACAGGCGAGCATGGTTGCCTCGGCTGACGTGGCCGACAGCAAGGCCCACCCCTTCCTGGCCAAAGTGAAAGGAGATTTCTGTGCTCACATAATCCACATCTGCAAGGCCGCTGACCTGTCGTCGTTTGGCTGGAGGAGACGACCGCTGTGGGCGCTGCTCTCGTGGCTGCTTGCTCTCTTCTCGGTGTCCCTAGTGTTTCGATGACTGACGACAACACGTCGATGTGACTTTTGTGTGCGTGGAAGGCACTGATCGATATCGATGTGATCAACTGACTGCCTCTGTTCATGTGGCTTGGTTGTGTGGGTGTGTTTTCGTGACGCGTGCACGGGGTTTTTCTCTCTCTGCTGCTGACATTGATCGATGATCGTATGGTATGCCGTCACTGTCTCTCTTGCGCTTCCACACTGTTCCTCTTCCTCTCCTCAGGCCCTGCCCTGCCCTGCCCCATGCACCCACCATTCATCTGTCTCCACATTCTGAGACACACAGCACCCAACCCATGCATCATGCACCCTCCCCTGGCGAACGGCTGTCTGTCAGTCATTCATTCAAACGGCGAAAACCACACACACTTGATCTCTCCTCAGGCTGCCTCTGTTGCGCTATGTAGCTCAAACGGAAAAACGCAACGGGCAATTCCATGCATTGACACATGTGAGTGAGATGCTGTCGCTCCCTCGTCTCTCTCTTTCAAGTGGCTGTCTTCCCTCCCCCTCTGATTACCCACGTGGATCCGACGAGTACCTCGAGAGGCGGAAGTCAGACACGACGCGTGGAGAGGAGGCGCAAAGCAGCCGCATCGTCATGCACACGTCGGGTTTCCCTCACTCGTCCTAGCTGACAAGTCATTTTCCTATACGTCTGGACAGATGCCAGTGGGGGATATGACCACGTGCACCAAGACCGCACCTGACATAAGGGACAGCGATTGAGAATCATCACTCGCCATCTCTTACGCCGAGGACATGCTTGGAACACGTCATCGCAACCACTCTGCCACACGAGTTTCCGACCCCTCTCTCTCACTTTGCTCTCTCTCTCTCTCGTCTCAGCCACACTCGACGCGGCAATGACGGAAAACGGTAGCCGCGTGATTTGACATATCACACGACCGGCGAGTGAGTGAGTGACATCCACAACAGACACGAACGACGTCACATCATTGCTCCCCGATCTCGCTGCTCTCCTTCCATGCAGCCATCGACAGCCATCCATCCATCCATCCATTCAAACCATCCTTCATGAGGACTAAAAGCACACACAGCAAGCCATGCAAACCAGCGAGAGGTGACGCCGCCCGAACAAACGACAGCGAATGACCTCACCCGCACACAGACGAACTCGCATACAAGAGAAGAGAGAACAGTTCACCCCTCGCCCAATCTCTTTCTCATCGACCAGCAAATCAGCAATGCTTCGCTCGACGCCCTTCCGTTGGCTCGAGGGGCGGAGGAAAAATGGTACACATCCCAATGTAATGCGCCCGCCGCCGTGCCTCATCAGCCCCACCCATGATCACAGCAGCCTATCTCGCTGTGGGCGGCGCACTGTGGCTATGGCCAATCTCGCAAGTGTCCATGGGGACGGGCTCCTGCGTCGTCACGAAACCCCTCTGCAGGGCGCCGACCCTAACGGAAACACACACACACACACACGAAAACAGATCTGACGGTGTGACGGTTGGTCGCTGTGTGTGTGCTGACGTGCGTACCTGTAGTTGCCATGGAGATCGAGAGTGGTGACGACTTGCCTCTTGACGGCTTGAGGGTGGAGGTGGGTTGGGGACCTCTGCTCGGGACTGGCGGCCTCCCTGGTCGTCGACAGCACCCTCTTGTTCCTCGGCTTCTCAACCTCCATCTTTCGGGATAGTAGCTACTATGATGGTAGATGGGTGCAGGGCGGAAAGAGACCGCGCCGTCAAGCTCGTCGTCTTGCCACTTGCGAGCTTAGCGAACGCGAACTTTAAGTTTGTTCGCGGCATTGGTTTCGTGTTGTTGAGGTTGGGAGCTGAGGACGGACGTCGGGGCGGCCCGCTCATGACAAGTCGTGAACTTCGGCGTCGATTCGCGTCGTCACCCCAGTGCTAAGTGCGTGTTGATGGGCTGTGGCGAGCATGAGTCAGTCGGCGAGCGAAGTGAAGGTAGGGGGCACGTGGAGGCTGGGCAGGAAAATTGGGAGCGGCTCTTTCGGAGAGATTTATCTCGGTGAGGAGACCACACACAAAAGGCCGCACGGGAGGGGGCGGGAGGGACGGGTGGGCTCTGGCTCTCACGTGGGCTGCTTGGTGTTTGTGCTGGGATGGTGTGGCGTCGGTGTGTGTCTGCAGCTGTCAACTCGAACACGGGGGAAGAGGTGGCGATCAAGATGGTCAGTGAGGGATGAGGGAGAACTCACACATGGACAGACCAGACCGCATGAAATGGGCATTTCTCTTTCTCTCTCTTACATCTGTCTGTGTGTGTTGTGTCTGTTCAGGAGAGTGCCAAGTCGAAACATCCGCAGCTGCTTTATGAGTCGAAGCTACTCAAGCACCTGCAGGGGGGAGGTGAGCGACGTCACAATTAAGCCAGCCACCAACACACCTGCCCACACACCTCACACGCGCTCCTTTCCCTCTCTCTCTCTCTCTCTCTCTGTGTGTGTGTGTGTGTGTGTGTGTCTGTTGCAGTTGGCATCTGTAGCGTGTATTACTGCGATGTTGAGGGTGAGCACAATGTGATGGTGATGGAGCTGCTGGGGCCGTCCCTCGAGGACCTCTTCAACCTCTGCAACAGAAAGTTCACACTCAAAACCGTACTCATGATCGCCGACCAAATCGTACATACGCACACCACACACACCTGCCCCTGCCGCAGCAGCAGGAGTTCGTGGACGGACGCATGGAATGGATGGATGGGATGGATGGATGGATGGATCTCGTCTGTCTGTCTGTGTCTGTCTGTCCCGTCACGTGTGTGCAGATTCAGCGTGTGGAGTATCTGCACTCGAAGAACTTCATCCATCGCGACATCAAGCCCGACAACTTCCTCATCGGCACGGGCAAAAAATCCAACGTGGTAGGGCGCACAGATCCATGATGCCATCCACGTGTGGTGTGCATGGCTTGAGTGTCTGTCGGGTGGGTGCCGGTGCGTCATGTCAGGTGTACATGATCGACTTTGGTTTGGCTAAGAAGTACCGCGACCCCAAGACGCACCAGCACATCCCCTACCGAGAGAACAAAAACCTCACCGGCACCGCAAGATACGCATCCATCAACGCACACCTGGGAATCGGTACGTGGCGGGGCGGCCGTCATATGCACGTGATTGGGTGATTGGATGGATGGATGGGTGGATTGCTGTGCAGAGCAGAGTCGGCGTGACGATTTGGAGGCGGTTGGCTACGTCATGATGTACTTCTGCAGAGGTCAGCAGCTACGCCACAACACCAGCCCCCAGTCAGCAAACCACAGCAGCCCTTTCTCTCTCTTTCTTGCTCTGTGTGTGTGTGTGTGTGTGTGCGTGTGTATGTGGTTGTCGATGGATGGATGGATGGACAGGATCGTTGCCGTGGCAGGGCATCAAGGCCAACACCAAGCAGGAGAAGTACCACAAGATCATGGAGAAGAAGATGTCAACACCGGTCGAAGTCCTCTGCAAGGGATACCCTGGTACACACACGCACACACACACACACGAGAGCGGGCATTATGTGTGTGTCCCTGATGGGTCGGCTGATGCAGCTGAGTTCAGCACATACCTGAATTACTGTCGTGCGTTGCGCTTTGAGGACCGGCCCGACTACGCCTACCTACGGCGACTGTTCAAAGACCTCTTCGCAAGGGAGGGCTTCGAGGTGCGGTGCGCACGCATAACACACGAGCCACATGAAAGGCGTCTTCACACCTGCATGTGTGTCGTGGTGTGGCTTGATGGGATGGGTGGTGTGTGGGCAGAATGACGGCATCTTTGATTGGTCGAACCTCAATTACAACTGGAGCAGGGGCGCCACACACATGCAGGTCAGCCAGGAAGGCACACAAGGAAATACGCTGCACCACGCGCGATATTTCTCGGTGTCTGTCTGCCTGTCTGTCTGTCTGTCTGTCAGGGCGGGGGTGCGGCTGCCGATCGCCGGGTTTCTATGGGCCAGAGCCAAGGTCGATCACGACTCAAACAGGTGAGTGTGTGTGTGTGGGTGCGTGTGCGTGTGTGTGGACACAGCCACACACACTCTCTTCCCCCTGTGTGAACGGAATGTGTGTGCAGATGCCGACAGGTGGCGAGCAGCGTGTGGTGGGTCGTGACCGCGAGCGTGCGGGAGGCGATAGGGGGGAGAGGGAGGCCGCTGCGGCCACACCCAACAATCCTACTGTCAAACTCAAACCTTCACCCACAGGCAAGGAAGGCCATCTCACACACTCAGACACACACTCGGACCCCTTTTGCGAGTGTTGCTGGTGTGTATTGTATTATTGTGTGTGCAGACCACACCTCTCGGCAGAATTCCCGCAAGGACGGCACCCCTCAGAACTTCGGCAACTTCCCGGGAGCTCTCGCACCCGGACCAGCGTAAGACCAATCACACACAATTGGCCGCATCGCATCTGCGCATCTGATGTGTATGTGTCTCTCTCTCTCTCTCTCTGTGTGTGTCAGTCCGCTTCGCGAGCGCAGTGCGACCGAGGCAGCCGAGGGCGGTCGGTCGAGGAAAGACCTGGACACCAGCTGTAAGAAGGAGCAGCAAGGAGAGCACCAGGCAGACGGGCCCTCACACGTGTCACACCGGCATGTGTGTGCGCCTGTGTGCTTGTGCTCTTCCGCCGCTGCAGTTCGCAACGACTATGGCGAGGAGGGCAGGATAGGGTACGCAGAGGACCTCTACACAGGCCCCTGTGTGTGTGCGTGTGAATGTGTGTGTGTTGGTCTTGTTTGCGTCGGTCAGGGAGGGTGCGGACACGCAGAAGCCGCGATCCCCGCTGGCACGGATCTTCGGACCGGTCAGGACACAGACACACACACACACACGCAGAGTCGCGCAGCACAAGTCAGAGAAGGTATCTATATGCGTGTGTTGGTTCGTTCAGTTGTGCGGCCGGGGCGCGAGAAAGCACCAAGGCTGATAAGGCTGATCTGATCCTATAGATCTGATCTCATAGGATCGGATCTGAGTGGATCGCCACACACACGCCCCTCTCCGCTTCCCCTTCCCCTTCCCCCTCCCCGCCCCTCCCCTCCCTTGCTTGCCTCGCCGCATCTCGCTTCCTTTGGTCCGTACGCAAGTGCTTCGCTGCGCTGCCCTGCCCTGCTGGCTTGCAATGCAATCTTTTTCATGCCTCTGTCGGTCTGTCTGTCTGGATGCCATGCCGGCCGGGCTGCCATGTCGCGATGCGTTGGTGCGTAATAGTGGGTGGCTGGATGGATGGATGGCAGGTGGCTGTCGGGTGGCTGGGCTGCCGGCCAGACAGAGAGTGAGTGCATTTGATCGATCGGCCAATGCGGATGCGTTGCGTGCGATGCGTGCGTGCGTGTGTTTGTCGGTTGGTTTCTTTTACCGCTTATAGCGCACACACACACATTCACACACATATGGATGGTGGATGGAGCGACTCTCTCCGTGTGTGCGTGTTTGCTGCTGCCTGCCTGTCTGTCGTCAATGCTCATTTCGACTGCCTCCCTCACTCCC